CAAAGTGAATGATCAAAATGCGCAAATTGGATACAATTTCAATGAAATTTTGCAGGAATATGTGTTTTTATAATATGACAATATTTCTGAAAAATGGGCGTGATCCGCCCATTCTTACGCCCACATGTCTTACAAAGTGAATGATCAAAATGCACAAATTGGATTCAATTTCAATGAAATTTTAGACAAATAAATGTTTTTAAAATGTTAACATATTTCTAAAAAATGGGCGTGGTCCCATTTTTAGTTTTACTGAAATTTAATGCAAAAATAATATTTATAAAAAAGTATCTGAAAAATTAGCATAAAATTCCTTCTTCTAAACCAACTACTTACAAATATAAAGCGTATAAAAAAGAGTTGTTTCAAATAATATATTACTTATAACAAGTTTCATGAGTTTTCATAATATATACATATATCATATACTCGTATTTCAATTACTTTATTCGCTTTCATCAGAGGTGTCACTGAATGTAATATTTTCTATATCAAATTCGGAACCGGAGCAATCTACGCTCTCTTCAATCAAATATTCCGCCATGTCATCATAGGCATGTGATTGCCTTCGCATCTGTTTCCTTTGCGAAGATATAAGTGGTTCCGAAGCTAATAATAAATGATTTAAAAGATCTTTATTCGATGAAACTCTTGATGATTTTCTAGTGTGGTTTAATCGGTGTTTTCGAAATTCTTTATGACTTGCTTCTATTGCATCTTCGGATAGAAGGCCAATTGGTATATTGAAATGTTGTATAACTTCACATCCATGAATCAGTATTTTATGTAAAGTTGCTGGCATATTGTACCATGAGTAATGTACTATATAAATTTCCTGAGTTTTTTGTAGAAGATCTTTAAATGTTAACAAATTTATGGTTTTACCACTTGATAAAATGCATAAAATTATGTACAAATTTTTTATAAACTCTGTGTTAACTCCAGTAATACTAGAAGCTAATTCAAATTTAGAGAAAAATTTTTTAGCTGTGTTTCCATCATTTGATGTTCCGTAGCCTGTTTTGACTCTATTTACAATTAATCCCATTCTATTTCGTATTTCTAATTGAATTTCTTTTTTATTTTTATTAAAAATTTCTTTTGCTTCATCAGTAGTAACTCTCCAGCACCCTAAAGGTATTCTATAAGCAATTTTTAATACACACTCAAAACTTCTTATCCAGGCATGCAACGTTGATAATCCATACTGAAGATTTAATTCATTTGGTGGGCTTGTAATTGCAGTTAAAATATTCATTTTTGAAGGGGTGGCATTGCAAAGA